TGACTTAAGTTTGACAATACATATTATTATTATAAATAAATCATAAAAACAAACCTCTTTTTGTATTCCAGAGAACAGGAACTCAACCGTAAATAAAATGCATTGGTACAAATTATATTACAAGTTTAATAATGTTCGGGGCCTTAACATTATAATTTCTTCAATATAATTATAAATATTTCATATCTTTTAGATATCTGCTTGGATCCGATTTAAGAAAAAATTGTTTTGTGAATTTGTAGCTTGTGCCAGGTGTGGCCCTCGATGGAAATCCGAGTGCAGGTTGACATTGGATGTGCTCTTTGTAGCAATTCTTGTTCTGTTGCGCCGTCGTACGATTCGAAGCGCACATGTGGAAGGAAAGTTGTCGAAATGGCAGCCCCGCCCAAAAGTATACTACACAATTCCGGATACCCGCAAGCCGCAGCTCAAATTAGTGGAGCTGAAATCAAAGGCATTGACGATAACCATGACATTGTTGCGTGCGACACAGTTAAACACACTAAGATCCCGGCAAGACATGCCCAAGACATCCCATTCCCGCGCACAGTCCGCTAATTTCATAGCGTGTGGGTGTTTAGTTTGCCATTCTCTCAATGCATTCAATGGCTCCCGGAGGCAGGCGCACGCACACATGCACACACATACACACACACAACAATTACGAGAGCTACAGATGGCAAAAACTACGCCGCACTCCCCCTGTCCCATCCGTGAATGAGTGGTAGCAACTTTTGGTTACAATAAAATTTTATTATGCCAGACACATACGTGGCACACACACCCACACACCCACACACACATACAGAGAGAGGGGCAAACAAAGCAGCCACCGATGCTGAAAGTTGAAGATGGCTCCTCCACTGCCTGACGACGATGAAGTCTTGTGCATGGTTCAATTATCGTATTTCATGATTCGTTAAATTTTCGCATACGCCAAAAAATACGCAAGACATTGCTAGACCCGCCTCCCGTCGCGTCCTACTCCCCCGTCCACCGTCACCCACCGTCGCTCTGCTGCTGGCGGGCAAAGAAAATCCAAACTGAAAAACAGGTTTTCCCCTAGCAACCATTGTGATGTCTACCTACAATGACGCTGACGCTGGAGACGGGCTGGAAAACTGCCAGACGAGCTGGCTATTCCCTTCCCCCTCCCCTTCCCCTTCCCGCCGTTCCGCTCCACTCTCTGCTCTATTCGCATGTGGCAGTAATAATTCCAATGACAATAAACGTTGTCGTATTTACAAGTACCAACACACTCGCACCCACACACATGCACACACACGCACACATACACACTAGCACACTGACATGAATTGATGAGAAAAGTTTTTGAGGAAATGTCAATAGAGTAGCAGAGACAAACTATGCGTCGATGTCGTAGAAGAGCGCTGTCAGATACAGTGGTAAAATGTGCAGAAGAAACACAATAAATCTGATGCTCTAAGCACAGTGGGGTTGCCAGAGGCATCTGCCAGCCAGTTGACGGTTCCATGTTGCTAGGGAGTTTGGGAGCCAATTAAATACCGAGTCAGTATTTAAAAAGTACTTCAGCATCGATCAAATTCTTGATTAACTTTCGCTTTTTTATGGAGTTTCGCTGGCAAATGGGGAATACTTCAGAGTTATGTAAATAGCCGAGTTGCTGCTGTGATTTGATTTCCGCCCACTGTTCGGCATATTTGCCATTTATAAATATCATGAGTGGCAAAAGGTAAAAAGGCAAGAAAACAGATATTGTACGAGTAATTGGAAAAAGGGAGGAAAATTGCAGCAGCTGCACTGCACCGCACTGCACCGCACCGCACTCAGCACTCCGGCGGAGCACTCACTCTCGTTCCATATTCAAAATTTATCTGCAAGATTGCACTCGATTGTTTTGTACTTGGCGGGAGGGGAGTGGGATTTTTCGTTTCGTTTTCTGTTGTGCTTGAAAATAAATTGCTTGGCTTTGGTTTTGCGTGCTATTTGTAAGGCTTTCCCTCCGTGCTGTGGCTCCATTTCGGGCTTTGATTTCGTGCGCACCGCTAAACCACAAAAGTCTGTTGTACTTCAAAGCGGCAGTTATCTCGTAATGTATCTGCATCTGTATCTGTATGTGTGTCTGTATCTGTATCTGTATCTGTATTTGCGTGTGTGCTGGGCTAAGTGTGCTCATATCTAGGTGACTAGGAAATGGGCCTCAATTACATAGCTGAACATCAATCGTAGCTGATGCGCTGCCTGGGGGCTAAAATCAATATAAATTGGCAAGCCCTGAAGATTATGCCAGGGGCAGATAGATTCGCCAACACGAATTAGTGGGCCAGGAAATTGATTCAAATGCTTAAATATCAATTGAAAACTATTTGTGTACGGCATGAAATCAAATGAAACTCTTGGCTCCTCATCTGAATTCCGGGCCAAATCGTTGTTCAGTCGAAAGTTAATGTTACTGGCGCCAAGCCTCTTCATAACGGCACCGTTGTTTATTTTGATTCACTTATCAGCCCAGGCATGCAAAACGAACCATGTTTTCTGTGGAGCACCCATAACGAGTGCGAAGCACCTAGACGTTATATTATTTGTTCTAGTAAGTCCTTATCAAGTGATTAGATAGGAAACACCTCCAGTGCAGCCAGCGTAGCAGAGAACTGTTTGTCGTGTGTCTACAGCGTATGTTATGACCACAATTACATATTGGCTCTATCGACAACGGCTATCGCAGCTGCGTGTCGCTTTGTCTTATCTGGCGCTCTTCTATCTGATTCTGGTGTTAAGGAATTTGCGAGATAGGCTTCCTCGAAAGTACGCACTCTGATAGAACTAGTTGAAACCAATAAACAGTTGAGGCCAATTAATGCTATAAAGCAGATTATAGATCTTATAGAGAGAGTTCCACAAATCATATTGCGGTAATTGATTTATTTGAAGGAATCGACAAACAAACACTAAACATAATTAACATAAAACAAATAATTATTATAAATCTGTTCATAAATCATTCGACTCGAGCACTAATAAATCTTTAACACAAACTGCAGCTAGAACATTTTAGATGGCATTATATTGCCGATTGATAGAGTATATAGGTTTCTTGCTGTGGAAATTGAGAACATCTGCTCGTGCATACCCTCATTTCATATAGGTTCGGCAAACCGAATCATCGATGCACCGTGAACGAGTATTGCGCAGTTGGTTGGACTCTGGCGACTTGACTTACTTTTACTTTGTACAGTGTTTTTGCTGCCTTATCGACTCTGTGGCTATCGCAAGGCATTTAAAACTATTCGATGCCGACACCAACGTCGACGCCGACGCCGCTGCCTGAAGATTGTATCAGCTGATTGGGCAGCCCGCTGCAGCAGGCCGCAGGCCGCCGTCTGCTCACTTCAAAGCGGCAGCTGCGGCATTGTTTACTAACAAACAAGCGGCAGCCGCCAAGCGCCGAAGGAGTTGCTGCTGCTGAGCCAGTATATCTCTGATTCGGGCTACTCTACAATGGGTGTGATTGCGAAACGCTGAAACGCTGCGAGAGCGGCTGAGCTACTGAGGAGTCGCTATGAGGACGAGCTGCTGGCCATCCGTGCATTTACGCTTTGATAAGAATTATTTTGTGTCGCCGTTTGCGTTCCGTGCCCACGGTGCGAGCGGCGTTGCACAACGTCGGATTTCGTAAATCATTAACGGCATGCGGCATGTGCATATCAGGTAAACAGTGCGCCGCGCGCTTATCACATTTTGGTTAGCTTCGATTTCTAATGGAAAAATAGTCGAAATAGCTTCAGCCTATGGGTCCCCATCTCTGCCGGATCTGTCGGCTTAGACAGCATTTGGCAAGCTCAGCGGCAGCCCTGCTCCACTGGGCGGTGGCGTTGCTGAACGTGATGTGGGCGGCTTGTTGTCGCTGTCGCTGTCGCTGTCATCGCCGCCGATGCTGCCGTTGCTGCCGTCGCAGTCGCAGTCGACGTTGACTGCGTGCTCGATATCGCGATCGGCCCGATCATCGACGTTGTTGGGTCCATAGTCCAGCGACGCGGCCGTGTCGGAAGCCGCAGCCGCAACCGCAGCGCCTGCTAAGAAGTGCACCTTGTTCGAAGTCGTCGAATTGTTATTCTCGGCCAGCAGCTGCTGGTGTAGATGGCGGTGCCGATGGTGGCAGCCAGCGCAGTTGGTCGGCGCGCTCAAGTAGCCCAGTGCAACGGGACTGGCCGCGTGGGGTCGCACATGCAGCAGATCGCCCACATAAATAGCCGTGATCGTCGCGTAGACGACGCCCAGTAAGGCGCCCGCCAGCACGTCCGACCAGTGGTGCCAGTAGTCGGCGACGCGGCTCAGCGAGACGTACCAGGCGGCCATGAGCAGCAGGAACTGGAGTATGTGGCGCATGACGCGCACGCTGCCCCGCCCCTGCCACACGCTGTGCACGTAGAAGGCCAGCAGGCACATGGAGTAGAAGCTGAGGCTGCTGTGCGCGCTGGGAAAGCTCACGTGGAGCTCGCGTATCTGCTGCGAGGAGAGGTTGCGGTTGCTGCAGTAGAACTGCTGCACGTACACGTCCGCATTGTGGGCATCCGCGCAGCTCGAGCCGTCGTGCAGCCGCGGCTGGCAGGCACTGTAGAAATGCGG